GCTGGACTCCCATGTAGTCAACCGTGGTTCATGTCCCAGACCCAGTGGCTTAAAACTCACGCCAGGCGCATGTGTGTGCGTGCCCAAGATCTTGAGAGGAGAATGGAGGAGAAGGGATTGCAGCATGACCATCCCCCCTGGGGGATGATTTCTCACTTTCTGTCTCTCTTTGTCTGTCTGACGAGCTCACACATTCTATAGCAAAAATCTCTCAAAAAAGAAAAGAAAAGAAAAACAAGCCAGGTACATGTGTGTGCGCAATGTAAATCCTGAGGAAGAAATTTGGTTGGGGGAGGGGCGTGTGACCTTCGCCCCCTGTCTGTCCCTTTCTGGCAAGCATTCGTGCCCTCTGACAACTAAAAAAAAAAGTTCTGCAAAGGTTCAAAACTTTTGAAACTTCAGCCGATGTCCAGCCATGAGAATCTTGCAGTGTATTTAGCAGAAATCTGGAGATGACCTCGAGGTGCATGCCATTTTCTCTACCCCCTGTGCCCGTGGACCGCTGGAGATCTGGAGCCCTGAGGGCAGAGACCTGCCTCCTGCCCAGGCTAAGCTGCACTGAGAGGGGAGCCACAGACCTGTGCCCTCTCTGGGCTGCAGGCCTCCCTCACTGCCTCCCCCACCCCTGCCCACAGCCCGCTTTCGGAAGGGACACAGACAGTATTGAGCCCCTCAGTGACCTGCGGACCCACGGGCCTCCTGCTGTGCCGCCCTGTCATCCTCACTGTGCCCCACTGTGCTGAAGTCAGTGCTGGCGACTGGATCTTCCAGCTCAAGACTCAGGCCCACCAGGGCCACTGGGAGGTGAGGAGTCAAGGCCAGGGGCATTGGGAGGCCTGGGGAAACCTCTTTTCTCCCAACCCAGCCTGGATGACTGTGACCCGTCCACCCCACCCCCACTGTCCCACTGCAGGAGGTGGTGACCTTGGATGAGGAGACCCTGAACACCCCCTGCTACTGCCAACTGGAGGCCAGGTCCTGCCACATCCTGCTGGACCAGCTGGGCACCTACGTGTTCATGGGAGAGTCCTACTCCCGCTCGGCAGTCAAGCGGCTGCAGCTGGCCATCTTCGCACCCGCCCTCTGCACCTCGCTGGAGTACAGCCTCCGGGTCTACTGCCTGGAGGACACACCCGTAGCTCTGAAGGTAGGCCCAGGCCAGCGGTGCCCACTCACCCTGCACATGGTGGCTACATCACCCCACCAGGCAGCTGCAGGGTACTTTCTAGGTATCCCCACACACACATCCTCGGCCTCCTTCAGTCACTCGGGCATCCTTGGGCATTGCGATTGCATCAGACCCTTGAGATGTACAGGTGAACCGAGCACAGCTCCAGCCTGCCAGGCTCCAGGCTAGAGGGGATGGATGGGGTCTCTGAAGACAACTGGGGCATGGCGGAGGACGCTGATGGAGGTCTGCAGGGGGCCAGGTGAACACCAGACTGGGAGGAGCGTGGGCTGGTGAGGAACGGCTTGGAGATGGCTGACTTTCGACCTAAACCCCAAAGGACAAACAGTTCTGGGCAGAGAGGGGTGAAGGGCATTGCAGACAGAGCAGCTCACACGGAGGCCAGTGTGCAGTGTGACTGAAGCATATATGGGGTGTGCAAGGCTTGAGACTGGAGGGCTGCAGCTGGAGAGATGGGCAGGGCCCAGCCTTCCAGAAGCCTTAGGAGCTGGGCCAGACAATTTGGAATCCATCCAGTGCAGAGGGAGGAAGACCTAGAAGACACCTGTTCACAGGTGTTCTTCAGGAAGCCCCTGCAGCCACACCACAGACTTGGGTAGACAAGAGGCAGAGGGGCCAGTTGGGACGCTGGGGCTGAACCGTGGGCTATAGGCAGTGGTCGTGGCCAAGAGGGGCCTCTGGCCTCTGTGCTTAGTCTGTAGGACAGACAGAAGCAGTGTCTGATGGGGTGGACAAGAAGAGGAGAGGGCTTGGGACTGGTAGCCAGGCTCCTGTTGTCTGCAGGGGTTGACAGTGATGTCCCTGAGTGGGGGAAAGGCATCGCAGGTGGCAGTTGAGAAGTAGTTGGGGCAGGGAGGGAGGGAAGGTTGGCACTCCGAGCCTGACCAGGGCAGGTGTGGAACCTTGTTAGTACCACCCGCCCCCATGGCCTCGGAGACCTCGTCCATCCCCTCCCAGCCTTCCTCCAGGTCCCAGGACTCCAGTCTCATCCTCACTTAATGCTAGACATGTACAAATACGTGGCCGTATCTAAACCCCTTTTCCTGCTTCAGCCTCTTCCCTCCCCTGGCAGTGGTGGCTGCCAGCTGCTTTGTCTCTCTGTCTCATGTGGTGCCTCACACTCCACACTGTGATCTGATGCAATGCAAGTGAAAGGGCCCCGTGGGAGTGGGTGTCTCCTGCTGGGCCTGAAATTCCAGGAGGCCCATGATGGGTTGGCTGCTCCTGAGAAATGCCCTGGCAGGCTGGGCTGCATAGTAGGGGGGTACAGCTGGTGTCTAGCTTTGGCCAGACAATGGCCAGAGATCGAGAGGGACGTTGCCAGATTTGGACCTGAAGGCATTCTTTGTTTATTCAACCATTTGTCTATTTGTCACCCATCCATCCTGCCATCTTCCTGTTCATCTACCCATACTCATTCAATCAACAGCCCATTTGTCCACCTAGCCATTCATTTATCTTCTTTCCATCTCTCCTTCTATTCGTACACCCATCCATTCGTACAGCTGTTCCATCTCTCCTTCTATTCGTACACCCATCCATGCGTACAGCCATCTGTCTTCCTGTCTATTGTCCATCCATCTTCCATCTATTTATCCATCCATCTGTCCATCCATTCATCCATCCATCATCCCACTGCCCATCCAGTCATCTGTCCCACTACCTGTCCATTCACCCATCCATTTTTCTGTCTATACATACATCCATCTGTCTGTCCACACGGTAAGCCTTCTGGAGCACGTGCCAAATTGCCTGCCGAATGCCTGGCCCCATCCTCAGCTTGGAGCAGTCAAGAGCCCGGTGGCCAGATGTGATGGGCTCCCCCTTCCTCTTGCCCCTGGCCACAGGAGGTGCTGGAGCTGGAGCGGACGCTGGGTGGCTACCTGGTAGAAGAGCCCAAGCCCCTGCTGTTTAAGGACAGCTACCACAACCTGCGCCTGTCTCTCCATGACATCCCGCACGCCCACTGGAGGAGCAAGCTGCTGGCCAAGTACCAGGTCAGGGCAGGCCAGAGGAGAGGGAGGGTGGGTGCTGAGAGGGGGCATAACTTAGGGCTCTGCCCAGGGAAGACCAATAACGCCCCCAAACCCTGCTTCCTCCCTGATGTACTTGTCATTGCCATCCCCATTTCTGTCCCACCCCGGTCTCCGTGTCCTCCGTCACGTACCTGTCCAAATTCAACTGGCGTACTCACACTTTCCCTATCACCCATCCCCGTCATCCTCAGGGAGGCCAGTCTATCTAAGAGTGTGCACGCCTGGCTGACTGTCTAGACTAATCTCCCATGACCACAACCCACTGCCCCACCAGCCCGTAACACGCTGAGGCCATGAGGCTTCCCAGACCCACACGGGTGCACTCACATGTTCAGACTGACCTTCTCTCTCCTATGAGCCCTCCCCTAGCTCCCTTCTGGAACCCAGGGCCAGCTTTAGGGCCTTGACCAGCTCTTTTTCCTCTGCTCACCTGGTGGTTAGACCTGAACTGCCCAGCAGGGGAGCGCTGAGGGTAGGGCAGCCTGACCCTGCCTCCTGGGCCTGGCCCCTCTTTCCACAGGAGATCCCCTTTTATCATATTTGGAGCGGCAGCCAGAAGGCCCTGCACTGCACTTTCACGCTGGAGAGGCACAGCCTGGCTTCCACGGAGCTCACCTGCAAGATCTGCGTGCGGCAGGTGGAAGGGGAGGGCCAGATATTTCAGCTGCACACCACGCTGGCAGAGGTGAGGGCTGCAGACAGCTCTGTGGAGCTCGGAGCTTCCAGCCCCTCATTGGGGTGGAAATGCTGCCTACCATAAAGACAGCTCCCCTCCTTCCCAAATCTGAGTGGAGACTTGGCCACTTTTGCTAACAACTATCATGTATCAAGTGCCATTCGTGTGCTTGGTGTGTACCAGGGCGCATGTATCATCTTACTAAATCTTCACAACCACCAGAGGCACGGGAATGACAGATATGACCCCACTTGAGTGACAGGAAACAGGTTTGAGGGAGGGCAGGTGTTTGCACAGTCATACAGTGGCAAGACTGAATTCAAACCCAGGTCTAAGCCTGAGGCCCTTGACCAATGTAAATCTAGCTTGAGACCTAAAACCCCAGGCAGCCTGGGTGACAGTGCTGGTGTCCTTTCAGAACAGCATGAAGAGCACAATGTAGGTCCAGACCCCCCTGCCACTAACTTGGCATGTGACCACGGCAAGTCATTTCCTTTCTAGATACATTTTCTACGTGTGTAAAATGGGTCTATGTGGGTTAGATGGCAGCAGAGGCTCCTTGGGCTTCCTAATCGTGAGGTGGCATCAGCATGTACCCAAGGTGACTGGGGTGGCCATGCAGCCCTTGCCTCGGGAACTCACCTTTGGAGGGAGGAGGCCCTTCCTGACCAGCTGGAGCCTGCCTAAAGTTGCTGGGTGGGCAGGAGCTCTGTGAGCTCATGGTCCCAGGGTAGGCAGACTGGAGGGCAGACCCCCAGCACCCGGTCCCTCTCCCTCTCACCCCCGTCCTTCCAGACACCTGCTGGCTCCCTGGATGCCCTCTGTTCTGCCCCTGGCAGCGTCGTCACCACCCAGCTGGGACCCTATGCCTTCAAGATCCCGCTGTCCATCCGCCAGAAGATATGTAATAGCCTCGACGCCCCCAACTCGAGGGGCAACGACTGGCGGCTATTGGCGCAGAAGCTCTCCATGGACCGGTGAGTGTCGGGCCTGCCCCACTCAAACCATGGCCCACCGTCTCCTCCCTGGTCCTGGAGGCCTGGCAGCGGCAGGTGGGAGAGCTCCCAGGGTGGTGGTCTCTGCTTTGCCAAGGCAGACTGGAAGCTCAGGTTTGGAGGTGCTAAGTCTGAAAGTATTGTTCCTTGGAGAAGGGTCTTCCTCAGAGACTGGACTGCGAGCCAGGCAGACTCAATGAGCGCCCAGTCTCCAGGTCCTGTCTTCTCCCCTGCCCGCCTGGGGTGGCCTGAGAGTCAGATAAAGCTGGGACGTGAGTGGGTGTGATCAGCATCAGTACCCGGCGCCCAGGACAGGGCAGGTGCTCTGGAAATGCTCGATGAGTGATGGGCTATCCCATGCTGTCGAAACTTCTTTGGTGAGGGGCCAGCAGGTGGCATCGTGGTTAAGGTGCTGGACTCCCATGTGGTTGACCATGGTTCCAATCTCAGATCTGGTGACTTAAAATTCATGCCAGGCACATGTGCACACATGCTCAAAATCTCGAGAGGAGAATGGAGAAGAGATTGCAACGTGGCCATCCCCGCTGGGGGGTGATTTCTCATTTTCTGTCTGACAAGTGTATGTACCCTACAGCAAAAATCTCTTTAAGACAAAAAAAAAAAAAAAAAAAAAAAAAACCACTT